AAATATCTTTCCGACAGTGGCCGGCAACAGACGCCGCTATCGAGGTTGTGCAAAACTTTTGCACAACCTCGATAGCGGCAAAAGGGGAGACCGGAGACTGGAAACAACCCCTGTGGTTTGTCTGTTACGTCAGCCTTTGACATACGTCAGATACATTTTGGCAAGCAACGCTGTCCATATAGCGGGGTCACGATTTCGCAACAATGAGGTTTATCCGTGACGGCAGTTATTCACTACCCATCGCGTCTAATACGAGTTCAATATCTTTTTAACATATCGGACTACTAAAAAAGATGATCAGACTTATATATAACGCCGAGTACTGAATACTGAAATTACAACTGAGAGGAGAAGTTGGTTTTCAGTTTCTCAAGTTGAATGTTGGTTGCTCAACTTACATGTTGTGTATATATAAGTAGAATGCTGCGCGCTCAATTTTCAAGAACGAGTGATCATGTTAAATGTTGGGAGTTGAACTTTGAATGTTGAAACGTGAAGTTGAAAGTTAGGGGCTATAACTTAATTTAGCCGCTCAAGTTGATTGTCGGCGGAGATTGAACACCAAACTCATCCATGTTCATGGAGGCTCTTTAATCTGCTACGACAATTCAGTCCTGTTTATTGGTATTTAAATTAAGAATAAATGACACTGCCCATTATAACATTGGCTGCTTTAAAAAGGTAAAAACAAAAAAACAATAATAGCATAAAATAGTATTACTGAATAGCTTCAATCTCATAGAAGGATAAACTGACCAAGATTGCAAACAAAAGGATCTATATTATTAAAGAGAGGGCTAGTAGAGAGTGTCATACTGAGAAAATAGTGATCTGTGCTCAGCAAGAAAAAAATGGGATATTTTACAGGGAACGCAAACTCTTTTTAGCTATCTACAAGCCTACCTGTGCCTATCTATCTAATCGTTTAATCGTTTTGGAAGGGATTTCCAGCCGCTGTCAGTGCTTTAACACCTCATTTGTTGCTGAAACTTCTGCTATTTTTTTTTTACATTGATAATGCAAAAGCTCCAAATATAACGAATTTGCACAGGTTAGTTGCTAATCTTCTTTTTTGTCATCAGTTGCGTTACTTTGAAAATATCATGAAAAAGATGGTAGCTTTCTTTTTGACTGAGCAAAGTATAGTCAAAGACGGAGAGGTGATTAATTTATTAATTCATTTTTTGCTGTTACTTTTTTTCTGTTAGCTTGTTGACGTTTTTCTTGTGGCTGTTGTTTTTGTTGTTGTTGTTGTTTTTTTGGCTTTTCTTTTGCTATGTTGCCTCCCGGTTTCAAGCAAGGACTTCGTAATAAACCTCCAACTCATCTGGAGAAAAATATTGTGTTCCAACCCAGGCAGAATTGTCACAATACGAACCGCGGTACTCCTGACAAACAGCGAAGCGAGAATTAGTATTGTATCCTGCATTATCTGCAATGTAGATTTCATAGCCACCAAAAGTTGGAAAATAGTTATAGTTGCTGTACGTGGCGTATTGATAGTTGCGGCTTATGTCATTTTTGAAATATCCATAACCGTAGTAGTTTTTCAGTGAGTATAAGAAGGTATTTGTCGAATATTGATAACCAGCAGACCCTGAAGAGACAAAAAACAAAACACAAACAATTAGAGATCACTGTAGCTCCGTCGAGTTCAATAGACCATTTTACAGTTATGGATGGAAACGAGGCTGGAGTGGACCTTGTTTTGATATAACTATAACATTTCTGCTTCTTTATCTAAATCTTGTTTTCTTATGCTAACTAGTATAATAATTTTTCAAACATAATTTACATAAGAAAACAGAGGAGGTTTTCATGTATCCTCAGCCTCACACTCATTCCAAGTCTAGGGTACAAATTAAAGCCCACAACTGTAAAATGGTAATTTGTAGGAAAAGATGGTGGGTTAGTAAATCACGGAGAGCAAGAAAGTGGTATATAATGTGTGTAATCAAGAGCCTTAGTGTAACAAATAATGAATCACTCTCAAATCCTCATGAATTGGAGTATCATAAGCTGCAACTAACTTCACTATGTAAGTTCAATGAAATAGGAATATATGTCATATTGGCAAAGTACCTTTCAACATTCTCAAAAACTTGAACTTTAAAGATCTTTTGAAGCTGATCATACCATTTAGCTTTTAATTATTTAGACTTAACAAGAGCAACAGCTGGGAGAAGGGCTCTATTAGTAAAACTAAGAAAAAGCGATCACAAACTAATGATAGATATAGGTAAATACAACCAAACTACGAAAGATAACAGGCATTGCCCCTTTTGTGGATCCAATCTAATACAAGACGAAGTTCACTTTCGTTTTCGCTGTCCTATACACTCTGTGATTAGGAATAAACTTTACAATCAAGTCAAGAGTCTGATTTCAAATATTACCCATTTACCTATAAAAGCTTTGATCAATGAACATATGAACTCCTCTAATTACTTTATCAGTATACAATTCACAGAATATATTTCAGCTTGCTTTGATCTTCGCGGCAAATTATTACCAGAGTAGCGTAGTTGCCCTATGATGCAATTTTAGTTCTTAACATAGCTTTCGCCATACTGTATGTACTTGTATGGTCATGCAAATAAAGCCCATTGTTGTTGTTGATGTCTTCCCCTGCAGGGCTTTTCCATTAGTAAATTTCAAAGGGACGGTGGAACAAACATTTATCTTTCTGGATACGTCTGATCTCCGATCGTACAAGAAGACGCACGGCCAAGCCGTTGTACAAAAGGAGGACCCTGTGGCTGAAAGAATTGTCATCACCGATAATGCATGGAAAATGTGTCAGACTCATACTAGTCAAAACTTACTGGCAGGCTGAATGGTTGTCACAAAAGTTTTTCAAAGTGTGCCTTAAGACGAATAATACTGACGGCAAATGTTTAAAATGCAATTTATGTTACAAAAATGTTGTGACCCGTGTTCTGTTGCGCTTCGAAATAATCGTTGCATTTTGTAATAAAATTGTCGCACTTTGTAATAACACTGCATGGTCGGAGGATAAGTAAACCCATTCAAATTGTAAGGTGCCCGACAAAATCGTCATTCATTGCTAAAGAAGGATCTGGAACCATGCGCCATCTTAGATCCACAATTTTAAATTGTTCTCCATTTTCCTTGTAATGCGCATAAATCGAGGTAATCGTTATAGAAAAATTGATCTGTGCTTAAAACGATGCTTAAAAAGCAAAAAAAAACCCGCAAGTTATGAAATTCCGAGATAAATTCTCTCTGTTAAGATTTTAACCCAACATTTGCTATTCGGTTATTTTAAATTCACATTTCTTTCTCAAATCAATCATTTAAGAGCCTGGCTTTCACTTACAGTTAAAATAAATATAATAAAATATTGCTAAATTAAGGTTAATGCTCAAATACAATCAGTAAAAATAAAAATAAATCCTTTGTTATATGAAAAAAAGAAATTTTGAAAAAAACGTCGCTTTCAAAAATCTGCTGACATGGTAACGTCCATGGTGCAATAACAATAGTAATAATACCTATAATGATGATGATGATGATGATGATGATGATGATAATGTTTGTCTGACTATGATAATGATTGTGGTATCGTGTTGCGCTCGGAGTTTATGTTTTCTGGTTTTATGAAATATACGTTTAGCGCTTACTCATGGCAGTAAACACTAACATTTTGCTATATCTCTGTTCATGTCCTCGCAGGTAATGAAACGGGATTTCTTTATTGCCCGTGCTACTAGTAAAACTTTCAAAATAATTTGATTAATATACAATCACCGTTCGCCTGAAGGACACCTTACTTTTATGGACAACCCGATAATACGGATAGCGGCTAAATTCCAATACAAACTCCCATTATTACGGACCTTTTCAGTTATGGACACTATCTCACGGTCTCGAGGTCGTCCGCATATAAAGAGTTGCCGGTGTACTTCCCTAGAAAGATCTTTAAGCCGGAAGGCCGCAGTTGATGTGAACACTTTCCTCCACCCCCACTTGAGAAACTGGTGCTAAAAACAGTTTAGTGAAGTGTTACTATTATCATTGTTGTTATTGTTGTTATTTTTGTCAATGATGATATTTATTACTGGGTTTACTTGTCCTCCGAGCATCCATTTTAAGTTGACAAACTGCGACAAGTGTTATTACATAGTGCGACAGCTATCCCAAAGTGCGACAATTTTATTACAAAGTGCGACAAGTATAAAAAGTGCGACGACTATTAGATGGTGCGACACAGTAGACCCGAGGTAAGATTGTCTTGCGAGTATTTAATCTTAACACCTCATACGCCGACGTTTTCAAAATTACTACAAAATATCGCGAGTGATTAATAAAAATCTATCTAAGACTAGAGTTGTTTTGAACTACTGGCGAAAACTGTAAAGGCTACATCTCTTCTTTCTTTCACATTTGGGGCCAAAGACCTCTCATCTTTAATTCAATTCAACCAGTCGAAGCCTTCCTGGTAGGTATCTTAGTTAGCTATCTCACGGACTTACATTGCCATGAATTGTCGTTGTAGCCTCCAAAAATATAGATCCCAACCCTAACAATCGTTACAGTGGGACCTTTGTTATCGCAATAGCTGTGAAAGGTCTGTGATCTCCAGCCATGATTGGAGGCCCTATAACACAGTTTCCAATAACTTCTGTCTCGACTTTGTAAGTGCGGAAGAAGCCAGGTATTTAACTGCGATATCTTGCTGGCATCATTTGCTAAAATAACGGAGTCATCGAGGCCACCTGGTAAAAAGAAAGTAAATCAGAAATTCATCCTTTTAAAAGATGCTGTTTTGCGGAAACTGACAACAACTCCAGTATTTGCTATACCTAAAAAAAAACACTTGACTAATTCAAAATATCGGCGGGGTTAGCCTAAAATACACTCAAAATTAAAGTACCCAAGAAAGTCAGAAGCCGTCGAAATAATAATAAACGAGCAAATCTCGCTTTCGGTACATTTGAAATGTCATTAAGAGTATATTCTTGGACAAGAGCATAATCAAGATGATCGACAGTCAGGCGAGGGGTTGCTCTTTGGCGACATCAATATTGGTGGATACTTTTTCCCACAAAATAGAAGTTAACAATTGTCAGGGTGGTAAAACGAAGAGAACAAAATGAAGTAAAACATATAATTCGGCTTACGATGAGGAGTGCATGTTTTCCCGTCACCAATGTAATGCGCATTCACGTCGCACTTGCAAGTAAATGACCCTTCTGTGTTAGTGCAAATTGCATGGGAGTGACAGTCATGGGTGTTGAGCGAGCATTCATCAACATCTGGAAGATAACAAGACCTTTATTTATTTCAAGCTGGACCTTCTTTTTTGTCTACGAATGTCATAGTCATAGGAGTAAACTTTTCAAGACCTAAAAAGAATAGTAGTAGACCGTTGAGAAGAGATGGCTTTCAATTCTGTGCATGTAAGCAGAGGCGAATTCAGATCTGCAAGTAAGTAGAGGGCTCGGCCAAGAAAATGATTTTACTCATGACAACCCTTCGGGTTCAGTTTAGCCCGCTGAAGATGTGTGTTTGGAACATACGAAACGTCAAGTTAAAGTCTTTTTTCTTCCGTTCGTATTTCCTTATGTTTATCACCGCAGTTTGCTTTTTGTTTCTTAAACGACATCAGTAGAAGAAGAGGAAGAAGAGCTTCAACTTCAACTTTATTTGCACCGTTCAGATGAATGAATCTTACACATACAGAATATATAATTTTCTTACAGAAATGTGCTATAAGTGTTCAAATATTAATAAATGAAAAATCGAGAGTGGATGTGCACAGTGGCCAAAGGAGCCGAGGCTAGAAGAAGAAGAAGAGCAAGAAGAACAACGAGGGTGGAAACGATACCGTTTACTGGATTGTTTTCATAATTCCCCTCCACACAAGAGGTATTAGTTATGAAAAAATAAAAATAAAAATTCTACAACTTCTATAAATGTCTAAAAAGAGCTGAAAACCTTAAAATGTGCTAACGAGGCGTTCATTGTCTCAATTGGTAAACTTATCCTGTACAGCTTTTCTGAACATTGCGTGGGAAATTATATACGATTGACCTAACTTATTCTATAAACGACAGGCACTTGCGAACTTCCTATACTAAGTCCTGGGTTTCTTTAACAGAGTGGTGGCAGAACAACTGTATTATGAGGGGCGGATCTAGTACTATGATCATGTGAAGAACGGACATGTTTGAAACAGGAAGTAAAATAATCAGGACGATGATCTTGACTCACTTTGTGTAGAATAAGAAGTTTTCTTGTACGCATGATGTCACCTACTGGCAGCCAACCTAATTTATCGAAATGCTTTACGGAGCTGTCGTTTATAGTATTCAGTATTTGTTCAAAGGTTTATACCTCGACAGGTTCGTCCATCCCCCGTGAAACCGCTGTTACATGTGCACGTGTAGGATCCATCAGTATTATAACATGTCGCACTGCTGTCACACTGGTGACCTGAGGAACATTCGTCGATATCTGGAGTAAAAAAAAAAAGTCTTTACCAAGGTTTCAAGGAATTCAAAGTACCGTAGAACGGTTTGAAGCTTCTGGCATATCAGCCCCATCAACATACAAGAAAGACTCTCAATATGAATCCCCGAAAGCTTTAGCCTGCCTAACAAGATCTAACAAACGTCCCCGCTCGGGTTTGTTGAGAAAGTCGTAACCAGAGCGGAAAACTACGCAGTCTATGAGAGCTTAGATTTTGAAATTGCAGAGAAATCAACAACCGTATCTACTTTAGTTCCCTTTTTGGGCTGTATTCACAACTATGGTCTGTATGCCTATGAACTATAAAATTACGATAGTTAATACACTTTATTGCTCAGTGTTGTTCATTTATACCAGCCAATATTTAAACGCTTATTTTACTATTATAATACGTTGCTCCGTATTTAAACCCCTCTAAAAGAATTAGTTGAAAAATAAATTTTGACGCAATTTTACGGTAAAAGCATGCTTATTGTACCTTTTAAATTCGCCCCAAGCAAGCCTTAAACTCACAAAAGATGTCTCTTTACCATTGTATGAGGTTCTTTGAAAATTATGCTTCATGAATTAAACGAAAAACTACAACTTGGGGATTCGAACATAATACCTCTGCAAAGCAAGCCATCACCGACATATCCTACCGAGCACCGGCAGCTATAAGAACCAATAGTGTTTGTGCAGATGGCGTTCTGATGACAATGGTTACTGTTTCCTCCACATTCATCAAAATCTAATTTCAAAAACGAATATAAAACAATCGTTCAGTCAATCAACCTGCAAAACAAATAATGAAACGATCTATTGTCAATCAACTTTTTTAACAAAAGAATCAAATTTAAGATCGTTGCTCATATGAGTCACTCAGCACGAAATCTGTTGTGTATGAAGGCGTAATGCAGTGCTAAAAGCGCCAGCTTATGGATCCTTTTTGTGACGTATAATTATCTTTTTCGCACAAGTAGTGCATATTTTTCTTTGTAGACTAATCCTTTAATTTATACTATTTCTGCAACAAACAGATTTACAGTAAACTCAAACTTTTTCTCAGCTAAGAAGCCAGAGAAATGGGCCATTTGCACGACGACGCCTTTTTACTACTAGGACCAGAATTCATTTCGTTTTTTCTTTCATATTTAAATTTGCTAATCCCAGTGAGGTTTAAATAACAAAAGCTGTAATTTGCATAAGAAAGCAATACCTGAAGGATTCTGGTAGTGGTAGTAAAATGACGTCATCGTGCAAATGGCCTATTGGTTATCGAGGAGTAAATTGGTTAAAGTCAACTAGGATATTCTCTGGCAATAAGAAAGAAAGAAAATACAAATGAAATAAATAAAAATAACTCTTAACGCCTGGAAACGTTAAAATAGACCATTTTCGATTTCCAAAAACCCACACTTGCAAACTTAGGTCAAGAGCAAACCCTTTCATGAGGAAGTAGTTTTATAATCTCTTTCTGAAACAGGCTTGGGGAAAACAGGAATTAAATTGCTTTTGAATAGGAAGTAATGAATAATAATAATAATGATAATTATAATGGTAACGCCTGTTGGTGTATAAAAAAAGTAAGTCACCCACAAACCTTCTGAACAGGTATAGTTATGGCAAGTACCACAGCTTACATCATTCCACATAAAACTATGTCTGACTCCCAAAGTGTGAACGCAATCTTCATTGTTGAAGTTGTTTGGTTGGTTCTTCGCCCAATATGAAAAGTTACTGGTTTGATTATCTGCCCAGTCGAAAGTACCCTCAATTACCCTATCGTTTAGCCCAATCCAGCCCTTGGCACCATTCAGCCGATGCTGAATATAAACGTTTTCTTCTTGATTCCGCACAGTGATGAGGTTGCCGCTATATGCTTGGCAGGTTTTCTCAGCTTCAGTCCAATTTTTGCATGAATGGCTTGTCGAGTAACAAATACCATTAAAATATGACCAGCCCGGTTTACATACATCTGCAATATTACAAAACATTTTGTGTGAAGTAAATAGTGCGCAACAAAGAGAAAAAAAGGCCTAGGCCAAACGTCGAACTTTTCATGAGACGAACTAAACTTAGTGAATTAAGTTCATGAAACGTTGTTAGCGACGCCTGGCTCAGTTAAGTTCGTCTGAATGAGTTTGGATCGTCCAACACGTTCAGACGGACAGAGCGTCCGAAGATCGTCTAAGGGACAAACGTCGATCTTCACATTTGAGGAACTAAACTAATAAATTTTAAAAAAATTGTTCGATATAAATGTATATAATATAATAATAAATAATAATTTTATTACTGATCTGATTCAGTTGATTGGTTCCACGCGTCCTATAAAGTTAACTTAAGTTAGGTCGACTCAAATTAGAGTTTAATTGGTTCGTTCCATGAAAACTTCGACGTTTGGCTTAGGCCTTAGCTGACCGAGAAGTTTTTGGAAATAGAAACAAATGCTTGTAGTAAGTAGGAACTAAGAAAATACATTTACTGGTGATTACTTGAAGGAGATATCAAACAAGGAGTCTCTAAGTTTACTTGACATCTACCAAAGCTTGCTGGGCATGAGAAGGTCTTTGCAAAGAAATTTTTTTTTTATCATTTACTAACATACCTGCTAGTACTGTATAGGACACAGTCACAGGATCATGCTGGTCAGCGAACAACTCCTTGAGACAAATGCGGAATTCGCTGGTCTTGATGTGCTGTAAAATAATAAACAAATCATCTAGCGTCATATATTTCGATTACAAGAACAAACGCTAATAGCTCAACGTTTAGAGACGTTCGCTTAAACACCTGTAACTGAGTCATTTTGAATTCCTATCTAAACAACAACAAAAAAAAAGAACTTGGGAAACTGACCGTGAATAACAGATGGATAAATAGATGGATTGTTTCGCTGCGCGACTATGGCCGATAAAGAGACTGCATGAACAGACCTTGGTGTAATTTAGCTCATATGCGCATTTGCTACGGGGTTATCAGCTTGATGTTACTTATTTTGATTAAAGTGTGTTGTATATTAGTTAAATAATTTGAGAATACCTCAATCCATGGGGTCACGGACATGTATATTGGCTTCAAATTGTTGCCTTCTGAGTTGTGACCGGCTGCTATTAATACTATGGGTTCTTTGTCGTAATTCTTTGCAAATGGGACGTCCTAAGGACACAAAAAGAAGGCTGTTGGTATAAACTTTGAAACACCATCCATTTTCATCAATGCATGGTCATATAATTGGTGGCTGGAATTTATCTGCGCCGACTCGAAGGAACAGGTAATATTTGAGTACCAAAAACACTTCTTTGTTGAAGATTTTTTTCCGACGGCTTTGATGAACTGTCAAAAAACAAGTTCCTTTCATGGCCTCATTCCAGACCAAAATGGGCAAAGTGTATACCCGTGGTCAGACCAAAACGGCGCAAAAACCCTACCCGATGGAGCGGCACATACTTATATAGCTTATATAAGGGAGTACCCCCGGGGGGGTTGATATATAGCAGTTTTTCTCTGCTGTTCCATCTAAATAGTTACAGGGCCTTCTTCTGCTTAAAAGTAAAGTTCTTCTTACCTTGCAAAATGCACCATTGTAGCTTGTGGAAACGGAATCGTTGTTTGGAAAATCCACGTGTTTGCTCTCAGCGAAAAGGGGCCTGTGTATTTTTTCAAAGGCCATCCAACTCTAAAGAGAGGGATAGCAATCAAAAATGGATATGCTATCTCATACGTAAATCCCGTGTGGAAATAATTATGCTATGTTCCCGAAAAACGATTTGTAAGTTGTATCCACAATACTTGTGAGATCTCATTTAACGTATTTTATGATTGATCCTATTCAGACCGGGCTTTTATTGCTCCAAGTAATTTGACGATGATTCGCGCGTGTTAAATGTGGAAATATTATGAGTGGTTGGAAGTGTTGGATCGAAAGTGATTTTATTGTGTGATTTACCGAAGGTGTTGACAGACAAAACTCAGGTATGTGGTTGAGCTCGCGTTAACAGATTACTTTGTGCCAAGCATAAAAACGCTTTGTGAGAGTTAGTTTAGATGATTTTGGCTTAGAAAGCCTATTCTGTGCTCAAAGATTGTGGCTTCTTAATCTGTTTTCGGCAGACACTTAACTATGAGCCTCAAGGTTTGGCTGACTAAAAGGTTATAATTTCTGGACTTTTCAAATGTTGTTTATTTTATCCCAAAATCCTGTTACTTCTGAGAGAGAAATTTACCGTCTGTTGCCAGCAATAAAGTTGTCAGCTAGTAACTTTTAACTGCTTTCCATTTGACTCAGATATCAAACTGATAAAATGTACTTGAAATTTCTTTAGCCACGTTTTAGCAAACTCCAGACAGATATATTTATAAAGGAGAAAATATATACCACAAAGATATCTTCATGTAGACCATCATAATTCTGTAGTTCTCGAAGACAAATGTAAAAGGAGGAACTGGTTGCGTTTTCTACCCACAAACTTGCGGCATCGTGCTTAAAGTCTGCACTCATATGTTCTGCTGTAACCAAGACCGTTGGTGTAGACGCAAATTTTCCCTGTTAAAAAAAAAAAATTCATAACATGTACAGTAAGAAAGTTTAATTGGTTATCAAGTATTCACAGCAAAGATGATTGGGAAAATGGCATGTGTGAAATTTGAAATAACTAAAAATTTCACATGATGGGGACGCTCATAGGACATCGGATCGTGGTCAAGTGTCTGAACGCGACTGTCAAATTTAGCCCTAGACCGTACAAATTTCTTTCCCCTATTTTTTGTATTAAATAATGCTTTTTTTAAAGAATATCTCCCCATTCTGACAAAAAGTGTAAAATTTGATTAAAAAAACAAGGTTTAAAAATGGCCTATGAGTCAGAAAGAATTTCGCGGACAGAACTGGGCTGCCTCTTTGCAGCTCATGTCTCTAAGTCCAAGTACGATATCTTTGATTGGATAACAATGGAGTGTTTGGTACTTACAACATCAGCATAGCAAATGTTCGCCTTATTGAAAAACTTAACTAAAGGTCATTATTCTTTCTGGTTTATGCAACGAAACAAGCTGCAGCTGAGAGGTAACAATAAAGTGTTATTGCCTGAGGAAGGCTGACTTTTGAGCACTGTGATCCAGTCCACCATTCTGGAATGCGCGTTTTATCCGCCACACCTCCATCAGGTGCTCCTTGGTAGGCCATCCAGTCCACCGTGGCAAATTCTTTGATAAAGCGATCATTTCTTCCTGCTGCAGTCACGCACACCTAAAGATTAAATGTAATGGGTAATGTTTATTTTATAGCGGAGCTCCGGCGCGCGAAGCGCGCCAGCGGAGCACGATGGGTAAGAAAATTTGGTAAACCATCCATCCGAGAAAATTTGGTTATGACGTAGCGTACGCCCGTACACTCTTTGCGGGGGAGGGAAGGGAATCAGGTGTCAGCCCGTCCGAGGGAGGAGTATGTTATAAATCGCGCGAAGCATTTGTGCAACCCACCGTTTTCTTGGCGGGAAATCGCGCAAGAATTGGCGTGGCTGTCGTCGCGTTCAAAAACATGTTTACTTCAACTACTTCATTGCATAAAGATTTTGTGACCGTAGTGCTCAGTTTCTAGTGAACTGTTTCGAAAAAATTGTTATGGCAACAAACAATAGCAGATTGAATTCAAACTATTTGCTTGTAAGTGAAGAGCGACGGGAAAGAGAAAGAAGAGAAAAGCATAGAGTAAGAATTAACAGGCGCGCTAGCGAAGAGGATTCAAGTGGAAAATTTATGCAGCATGTGCGACTTGTTCACTGATAGCTGAAGCTGACAGAGTTTTGCGTCATCTTGTGATGTTTTTACATGTCTTTTTGCACTGGATCTACAAAATGAAATACAGCAGCTATCAACATTCTTTTGTTATTCTTGGCTGGCTTGTTTATTGGGTTGTGGTTGAGAAATGCGCCGCACGACAAAAAGAAATCGAGAATCATCGTTTTCAAAAATAAGCTACTCTTTGTAAGCTTAGTTCGCCTTGCTGGACTATGCGAAAAGTCTTAAGCGATTCTGGCCTTACTTGATGGGTTTCCGTGCTGCACCTCGACCGGTAAGCTTGAGTAATTTTATCGCATTTTATGTGTTTTCTTTTTTCATGTTTATGCCTTCATTTTACGCACATTTGTAAGGTTTGAATCAATTTATCTGACCTAGTAAGGAAGTTGAACTTTAAAAGTCTGTAGACATTTTCTGACCGCGACTCGAAGAAAAAGTTCTGAAAAATAGTTTAGTTATCCTATTGTTTGTAAAAAGAAAACTTTGAGCGATATTCTTGCCTGGAGTTCATCTTGCAAAATAGCAAACACGGCGAAGGCGGCTTAAAACTTAAGGCTTAATTTAAATCTATTCGTGACTCAGGATTTTCAGAGACACTTTACTCTCAAAACACGTCTTCGGGAATAAAAATTGTTGACCTTGAAATGTTTCTTTGTATTACAGTTTTGTAAATTTCTTGTCTTGATTGTTTGTCAGGATCTCGTTCTTACATGATCGTTCTGCCAGTTGTTGTTTTCAGTCGTCCGTGAACGCGTTGGTCACGCTCTACGTCCAATTTTTATGCTCTGATTGATCAAAATTTGACAGGTGAGTTTATGCGGAAAATTTATGCAGCATCTTGAAACTTGTTTACTCTGACAGCTGAAGCTGACAGAGTTTTGTGTCAACTTGTGATGTTTTTAACTCTCTTTTTCTACTGGATGTACGAAATGAAATTCAGCTGCTATCAAGATTCTTCTGTTATTCATGGCTAGTTTGTTTATTAGGTTTTTGGTTAACAAATACATCGCCTGTCAAAGTCGGAAATCCGATTTCCATGGCATCGATTCGTTTTCGTTTTTCACCCTGCTTGATTGAAAAGTTTGAAGCGATTCTGGCCATACTTGATAGCTTCCAGGAGCTGCATCTCGAATGGTAAGCCTGAGTAATTATTGTATTTGTGTTTGTTTTATTAATATATCTAATTTCATGAAGCTGAGCGCAGTTTATGAGGCTAGTTTATGCATGTCTGAATTAAGATTTGAGATAATGATCTGACCTATAGTATGAGGTCTGATTTAAGCTTGGAGAACTTTAAAAAGTCTTAAGTCGATTTTTTTTCACCGAAAATAGAAAGAAATAAACGTTGCGTTTTTATTTTGGCCGTAGAAAGAAAGCCAATTTTCTCTCCTCCAGTTCATCTTTGAAAACAACAAACACCGGGAAGCCGGCTTAAAACATAAACTTAAGCTTTAAGCATAAAGACTCAGGATTCTTAGAGACACTTTAATACTTAATTGTCTTCGTGAATGAAAATTGTTGTCTCTGTAAATGTTTCACCGAATTATATTTCTTTTATTGATTCTTAGTAGTCTCTCTTGCAATTTGCCGTTAATGTTTTCAGTCGCTCATGAACATCGCATGCAGGAGTACTCAAAACGTCGCGCGTATCAAACGCTTTTTAAGTTTACACATCGTTATAAAACCATTACATAAAAAAAATAAAGACAATAAATTGTTTATTATGTTGAAGTGTAACTCTATTAATGTTCATTCAAACACTCCACAGCTTGCAACTGGCTGGCCGTTATATAGGTGATTTTGGAAATTTTTTTAGCGGTTTCGCTAAAACAGGGGAACCCAACGACAATTTTCGGAAAAATATCTGTTCGGAAGACGATTTGAGATCTAGAATTTTCGGAACATTTGTTGTAAAATTTCTTGCTTCCATGCCTCTCCTAGGATTTTCGAACAAATAAAAAATGGTATACTTGCCCATAATTAACTAATTTTTACCCTAAAAAGTTCACCTAGAATTTTCGGGAGCCTATGTTCTGGCTAAAATTTTCGACGAGGTAAGTTTTGATCCCTATAATTTTCGGATCACTAGACTTTCAGCTAGGAAATCCGAACAGATGAAAAATTTTTAGGGGATAAAAATATGCCTATGTCTACCGTTTAATTACTAAAATACATTTAATAATGCTATGTTTAAGTGGTTTTGAACTATATTCTCGTTGGGTGCCCCTGCTAAAAGCCCACGCGTGCTTCGATCGTCCTGAATACTGAATGAGTGCAATTTATATTTGAAAATTGTGAAATACTGCATTTTGTCTGAGGTCTGTATGATAAATTAAAAACATCGCGTCATAGCACTGTTTCACCTCAGACTGTCAGATGTGATGTATAAAAAGTATAAAAGGTTGGTTTACACGCCCCCAGATTTGGTAGCAAGATTTTGTAAAGCAAACTTGTCAAACGGAAAAAATTCTGCCGGATTTGCTATCCAAGTATTTGTTTTCCACGCCTAATCTACTGTGATCAAGAGCCATTGTGGCCGTTAAATGTGATCGAAGATGATTGCTATTTTTTGGGTGTACATATAAAGGCCATCAACTCGATGTAAGATTTGGTGCACTCTTGGACTGTTAGCAAATTATTTTTCTCTCAAATCACTTAGCCTTAATCCCTCAAAACAAAAGTCACATGAATGTGCTCTAAAGTGAACTGATTTGTGGAATACAAGTTTATTGTTTGATTTAGATTACAAATTTATTAATGGGGGCTTCGCTTTTAGCCCTGGCTAAATCTATATATTATGGTAAGGTAATATATAGATTTAGCCAAGGTCAAAAGCGGAGCTCTCGTGGTAACTGACTTGCTGAAAAAACTTTTTCCAAGCCTGCGATCACTTGATTCTATAACTGGTCAGCTGAGAACTTAAAAAAACCGTCACCTCAATAAGTAACACACCTGAGCAAGCAATAAGGTCGTGTGACACTGGTCTGGGGATGCCCTACTTTGACAGCTTTCAATTGATTATGACATGGATGTCTAAAATCGAGTTAAACAGAATTTGTATATGTTTTGGATTTACAGCTAGTAAGACATTTCACATTCGTTAACATGAGGACGCCGTCCTACGTAAGTACGCACGATTTTGTAAGGAATCAAAATTTCTTGGATGTATAGATAACCAATTTTTCTTACCCATAGTGCTCCTCTGTGCGCGCAAAACACGAAATCTTCGCTGTTAACTCGTTGTGAAAATAAAATATGTTCAAATAGTATTTTACTGGCCAGAAATATGACAGGTAAACAAGAGCTCTTGGAGATGTAAGACAAATGAGCAGAAGGTCACTAATTACTACTTGAAGTAATACACGTATTTGAATTGAAAACTTCCTATTAAAATATTCACCTCAAAATTCTCGAAGTTAACAGTTTCCACCCAGGACACAGTAGCATCATGAATAAAATTTTTCTTGCTTATGTTCCAGTGATTGGTCGTTATCTGTACGTGCACTTCTTTGTCTGGATAGAATGAAAACGGTGGGAATTTCACTAGTTCACAGGCCGTCTCTGCCCACTGTACATGTCTTTTCAGTGAAACTCGCCCAGTCTGAACAGGAAAACCTGTCGAGGAACAACAAGAAAAAGAAGATATAACATAGAAGAAAAACAAAGCTAATTAGAGCTGAAAGCGATAAGAAAAAACAAACAAACAAACAACAACAGCAATAAAGTTAACATAAAGACAAATAAAGATGCATCCTACAAATACCTGATGAGGATGAGAAAAAAAAAACGTGTAAAATCCTTTCTATATGCGAGGAATTAAATCAAAAGCTGATTGTAGAATCACACAATCATATCGTGGTACTATATGATTGGCACTTTGTTGCGTTCAAAACAGTACCAAAATAAGCAAAATAGTATTTAATCATGATTTATTTTGGACCTAAGCACGGAAAATGCCACGTGCTTAAAACGGTGATTCCAAGATGGCACCCAAGACGGTCGCCAAATTGAGTGATGTCGTAAGTCATCAGCGGCACCATATCTCATAACACTAGAGCTCTGTATGCGCTGGTTAAGGTGGTTTTAAAAATCCTTATAATCCGCTCTCTTACCTGTACAACTACCGGGATGATAGAGAGTGTGGTTACTCTTGCGCCTGCAAATGTCCAGCAGACAAAAGCACTTGTTCTTAAATGTTGTCGAGTTGGATGAACACACTGGCTCCTCGTACGACGGGCAGTTGTCATCACAAACACAACGGGCATCAAATGCAGAGAAAGCTTTGCAGATGGCATGGTAATCGCAAGTAACGTTTGTGCACGGGTCTATATCTTTAGGGCAAAAAAAAACAAAACAAGAAAATCAGCACTTGTATGAATAGCAAATTGACCTGACGTCCTACATCCTTTGAGAGAGCAACTGCTTTCAATTTTTTAAAATTTTTCTTTGTTTTTCCTCTGAAGACAATTGATGGCAAAAAAAGATACGAAATGGGGAGTTACTTTTTTTACAATACGATGCTGTCCTTATTTGAACGTCATTTTTTTATAACTTCTTTCTTCGAGATTTGATCACAGGTTTTTACAGTGCCAATTGCCTGACTTTATTCGTATTCGAATTCATTTCTTCAATTCGACGTTTGACCCAACGTCGAAATGCCTTGATAATAGGACGAACCGGTATGAGAGACAAATCTTTGAATTTACGGAATAAGCAAATATAAGAGTAATGTACCTCCCACTATAGCATAGTCCACTGTAACTGGATCGTGAGACTTGCTCATTCCCTGACTGTCTTTGATGCACACTTTGAAAGACAAACGAGTGATCTCCTGGAAAATAACATCAGATATACCAATAAATAAAAAGCTTATATTGACTTGTTAGCTTTCAGACAGGGGCGTCCAGTTAAGGCAATAAGGACAAGAGCAACTTTGAATCGTTTAAACGTATGTACAGTTTCCACGGTCATAGCGGAGCCCTATAGCTAAGTAAATCTACCCATCCCAGAAACTTTGGTAATCACGTGACCGTACACCGACCGACCGCCGACCGGTCGTCCGCACCACAGGAAATCCAATGTTTACTCTCACACTTTTAGCTAGTTTGGGAGCCCAAGAGAAAACTAATTGCACATCAATGTTGTGATCAATTGGCAGCTATCAAAACAGGGCATCCGCTGACCAGTATCACCTGACGGTACCGAAGGCTCAAGTGTCGACCCATCGAGGTCCAGTATTTTTTTTGAAGTTATCCGCTGACAAATTACCAGTTTCAAATGATTGCAGGCTCAAGTTTATTTTTTCCAAGGATTCATATCAAATATGTTGTGTTTATGTCACTATGGCCCCGCACTATTAGGATTTTGATTTCAAACTGACCTCGGAAGCGAAAATTCACCCAGTTTTTTAAAAGTACAGGCGGGGAAGGCTTTATCTTACCATGGTCACGCGTTGGTCACGCTCTACGTCCAATTTTTATACTCTGATTGGTCAAAATTTGACAGGTGAGTTCATGCGGAAAAATTATGCAACATCTTGAAAGTTGTTTACTTTGACAGCTGAAGCTGACAGAGTTTTGTGTCAACTTGTGATGTTTTTAACCGTCTTTTTCCTCTGGATGTAAAAAATGAAATACAGCTGCTATCAAGAGTCTTCTGTTATTCATGGCTGGTTTGTTTACTGGGTTTTTGATTGAGAAATACGTCGCTTGTCAAAATTCGGTAATTCGATTTCGGATGGCATCGTTTTCGTTTTTCACCTTGCTTAATGCGTAAGAGGGTTTAAAAGTCTCAACCAACTGTGGCCTTCCTTGATAGCTTTCAGAAACTGAATCTCGAATGGTAAGTTTAAGTAATTATTGTATTTGATGTTTGTTTTCGTTAAATCTAATTTCATGAAGTCTTGCACAGTTCACGCTGACAGTTTATGCGGCAATTTTATCACGTTTGTAGGATTTGAGTCATTGATCTGACCAAGAGAGGATAATGGGGACAGAGAAGGCATCCCCCATACACACCCTATTCCATAGGTAATTCGTCTCGAGTTATTTTTAACACCACAGATCTCAAGGGGGATCAGACAACAGCCAATCACATAGCGCGAATGTGTTCCGCGTGGATGACCCACGCTGAGAGCCACGCTTCCTTCACGAAATGACGCAGAACAAAATGGGGGAAGACGCGGAGAGCGATTTTGCTATTCCTTTTGTCGACGAAAACGACTACAGCGAGATTTATGCGAAAGCTGTGTCAGCGAAACGGAAATTTAAAAAGAATCGCCCTTCCTCTCTTGTATAGAGCTAACAGTACAGCAGGGAAATCCTTAACACACTGAATATTCTCTCAGGATCATTTATAATTTACAGTTTGAAGAGAGCAATTTCTGGTTTCATATTTATTCCTTTATTAGTCTTTTATTATTCAACAAAAATAACACTTGGCGTCCTACTTGCCTTATTAGGGACTTTAAGATCCAACGGCGCGACGGCGACAAGAACGTCGCTTAAAAAGTGAATTTGAATTTTTTCAGTCTTTATAGCGATTATTCCTACCCACTTACTTTGTCAATTGTAGGCGAACCCTCCTAAAGCTGAATTTCAAGGGACCATATTCGCGCTCAGAAAGAGAAATAAAATTTCGTCGTTGATTGTTTACGTCCTCCATAAAACGCGAAATTAGGCATTTTCTCGTCGTAGTCGTGCAAAAACGGGAAAGAAATGAACAAAAAAGTGTGTTGCACGTGCGAAGTTGTTGTTTTGCTAATTAAACCTATTATTTTTGACGTTCTAGTTGTCGTCCGCGTCGTTGGATCTTAAACTCCCTATTGTACGACCGGTTTCAATAGACCGGCGAAATTTCTCATTTTATTAAAGCACTGAGGCTACGACAACTTCGAGTTAAACTGATTTCACGGGTTGTCAAAGAGTCCAGCGATTCCTTTTTCCCAGGTGAGCGCCGACTCATTTCGCTTCAATATTCAGGAATGCTCTCGATCTTTTTACGCTTTCATTGCCTTTCGCCCGACATGTTTTGCACGGCGTTTAGTCATGCGAAACCTCCACGAAACATCCACGCCTCGCGCGAGGTAACTTTATCCCGATTCTAAAAATAACTCGAGACGAATTACCTATGGAATAGGGTGTGTACGGGGATGCCTTCTCTGTCCCCTTTATCCTCTCTTGATCTGACCTCGCTTTAGGTTAGAGACATGCTTACAGAACTTTAAAAAGCCTTCAGATATATTTGCTAACCACAAATAGAAAGAAAACGTTCCGAAGAATATTTAGTTATAAATTTGGCTGTAGAAAGAAAACTTTGAGCGATTTTCTTGCTTCAAGGTGTTCATCTTCGAAAACAGTAAACACCGCGCCGGGAAGCAGGCCGAGCTTTACGCTTAAAGACCCAGGATTTTTAATACTTGTCTTCGTGAATGAAAATTGTTGTCTCTGTAAATGTTTCACGGAATTATATCTCTTTTTTTGATTGTTAGTAGTCTCTCTTGCAATTTTAATCGCTTGTCTGTGCCGTTTGTTTTCATCGTTCCTGACCATGGCTTGCATGTCGCGCGTATCAAACACTTTATAAGATTACACATCGTTATAACTGAAACCATTAAATAACAAAACAAATAATAATAAATTCGCTATTACGTTGAAGTGTAACTCTGTTAAAGTTCATTCAAACACTCGACCACACTGACAGTTCGCACTATAGAAACGAGAACCAGCTGGCCGTATGGGTGATTTTGGAAATTTTTGAACGGTTTGGCTTAAAGCCCACGATTGATCGTCCTGAATATTGACTGAGTGCAATTTGTCTTGAAAAATTGTGAAATACCACATTCTGTCCGAGGTCTGTACGATAAATAGTACTGTTTCACCTCAAATGTGATGTATAAAAATTATAAAACGTTGGTTTAAACACCCCAAGATTTGTTGGCAAGAATTTGTAAAGTAAACCGGTCGAACGCAAAAAAATTTGGCGTGATTTGTTTTCCAAGAATTTGTTTTCGAGGCCTAATCTACTGTGATCTTGAATGTGATCGAAGAAGTTTGCTATTTTTTGGGTGTACATATAAGGTTATCAATTCGATGTAAGATGTTTCACTCTAAAATATTAATAACTTAGCCTGTCCCTCAAAAGTCACATGAATGTACCCTTAAGTTAACTGATTTGTGGATTAAAAGTTTATTGTTTGATTTAAGTTATAAATTTATTAATTGGAGCTTCGCTTTCAGCCCTGGCTAAATCTATATATTATAATGGACGCTGCTCTCTGTTACAGTGCGACTACTATAACCGAGGCCACCTAGACAAAGTTGAAAATAAAAATACATGAAAATAACAATACATTCCGAGAAAGTTAGTTTTCAATCATAATCACCATAGAACGAGGTAAAAATAAGAATGGATCGTGATCAACAAATTACAATCTACAGATGTGACCTTTTTTAAACCATGAACCCACGGAGCCTCCGTTAAGAAGAATCATCAGCCGGAGGTGAAAAATGAGTACGGGAAGTGACAATCAGCTTGATGATTCAAGTTATTGCTTGAATTTGCCGTCAAGTGTTAAGTGCCACTTTGAACTTCTATTTAGTTATAAGTGCGTTATTCTTTAGCGAAGGCAACTATTTTAATCAGCAAATATCTGAAACAGTTTCAATTTATTAGGTCTCTTCAAGGCTACTCACCTCAATCCAGACAGTCAAAGCGTTGCTATAGCGACCATCTGCCTTCATTGAAAGTTCCCTGGTGCCATTTTCATGGGTGGCAGACGCTAGAATATTGGGCGGCTCGTAGAATGGATTCTCAAACTTGTAATCCTATAAATCAGGATTTACCAAACACAATAATTTTCCCTCTGACTGTTTAAAGAAAGTATATTGTCGCTTTCATCCTTTTGAAGAAAGTGATATTGTCCCAGTTCATTAAGGAACTGATTAGGCAAACTCAAGGTCTATAAAATATATCTAATAGTGGATGCACCTCCTTACCACGTAACGGTCAACAAATCTAAATCACAACTCTTATGAACAACGCATGAGGTTTTTAACGAATTATTGATAATCAAGAAGGTCGTATCTCTTGTTGGACTTAAACTCTTATTTCAAAAATGCACAATACGCCGATGCCGCAGTGTCCCTCAAAGAAATGAGAAATGCACAACACAAACGTTGATTGTTACCACGATGGTTTAAAGGCTTGATTTGTAAGTTAAGTTAATAAAAATTGAATGTATTATTAATAAACGTCACATTTTCCAACCTGACAAAAGGCATAATTGCTCTCTTTCTTTGGTGCACCAAGTCCAGAAAAATGAAGCCTTCCTTTCTCCGTAAAATTCCAAACCTCAGGTAGCAAATCATAAGCAAGCCAGTTCTGAGGAGAATAGACTGCAAAACAGTCCGTATTTTTGCGTATTCAAGTACGCGCGAGCAGTCAAACAAAAGGTCTGGAATGAGGCTGAAAACAGAGAGCGAGACTGGGGAGAGACGCTAAAAATACGGACTGTCCGTTTTGCATACGTTATATTCGTTCGAATTACCCGCTTCTCCCAGCCACGGGCAATTCCCATTGGCTAAATTTCGATGCAAGCTGTCACCAAGCTGTCAAGTAATGTTTTCAACAAGTCATTCACGTTGTTCCCTACCGTGATGAATTGCTAAAGATTTCGCTGTGAAATGACGGAGGATGTTGATCGCCTGGATTTACTCGCAAGAATTGGGATTAGTTTTAAAAACGGAGCAGAGGGATGCCTTCCCGGATGCCTTGGAGTTGCTACTCAGGGGAAAGGATGTTTTCTGTGTTCTACCAACAGGATTTGACAAAAGCCTTACTTATCGGATGTTTGTTCATGCACAGAGTTCTTCAAGTTCCGTGCAACGGCCGACCGTCATTGTTAACTCGCCTGGCTAAAAAAGCGGGATCGGTAGGAAACACACGACTTTTACCTCACGCAAATATGCCGCTTGTTCTAATGAATTGTTTTCTCTGTCGAGTAGATTATGCTTTGGAGGAAAACGTTTTGACTGAGCAAATGTGAATTTTGGCCGCTTATTAAATATATTTCATACTGAGAGGTCGTGACACGCATATTGATTTCCTCTGGTCGGCATGATTTGCCCTCTGACTCAAGAGCATTTTCTTTCTTGGCCCCTTTAGAAATGTAAAGCTCTTCATTGCGGCTGATTAAGGGTTTTAGGTTGTTTTATTTCTCCGAAGTGCCTCCTGGATTTGAATAATTTGAAGCGATTTTCTTTGTGTCCGTGAATGTGTCTTTTTCCTGCAATGTTTTGTCACGCTAGCTGGGCCCAGCTCGTTAGCGTTTTTGGCAGGATTTTAAGGTGGCTCCGTAATTAATACTAGAGCATTTTGCTGTGACAAATTTTCCGTCATAACTTTTTGGTTCTTAACGCGATGACTGCGAAACTTTGGTAAGAACAACATATATCATTCGGCAACAATACGAAATTTTCCGATTTCATTGATGGTAAATATTTCTTGAGAAATTAGCGCTTAAAAGGACCCTAATGTTCGAAGAAAATCGCGTCTAGTAAAAAATTTTGGTGATATTTTTTACTGAAATTTCTGGTATCGGCTTTAATTGATATAATAAATATGCCAGAGGAATTTCAGAAAAATCGTTGGAGCAGAAGTCTGTAACTAAAAGTCGCTCAAAATTCAGCTGTGAAATTGTTTTGGAATTTCAAAAATAAATTCCTATCAGGTAGAAGGAGCCACCAGTTTGAATTTTCGGAACAAGTAAATTCAACGTTTGCTAATTCTTAAAACAAAAGCCGATTGCCTATAGTGTTATTCTTTAAAAGGTACTTTTTAGTTTTAGAAGCACCATAAATTGCTCCAAACCTTGCTCTGAAGTAGAATGACTTGTTCTTCGAGATTTTTAAAATATCCCTTTGCAGTTTTGGCTCAAACTCCTGCTGCATACATTTTGATGTATTGCAATTCATTTTCAACGACTTTTACTGCTGTTCGTTGCTTCCAACTCAGGAAAAAAGTATTGAGATTGGACGCTACCTCGTATCAGAGCTCAGATAGAACTGTCCAGCACCTTTGTTTATGACTACAAAATGAGCACGAGCGGCAGTTCTGCGAGGAATTCGCACCTCACCCAGGGGGGACGAACGACAATGATGACCAAGCCTGTGAACCGAATAACATCACAGTGCAAAATAAAATTATCACAAAAATACTGCCCGTGAATAAATTTACAACTCTGAAATTTTTGTCACTCCTTCCTTCAATGAATGGGTATTTTTTTCTTGATTATTATGTTTTGCTCTGCAATACATGTTTATACAGATCGGTTCACAGACATGGGTATCATTATCATTCGTCCCCCCTGGCTGAGGTGCGAATTCCTCGCAGAGCTGCCGCTCGTGCTCATTTTCTGGTCATAAACAAAGGTGCTGGACAGTTCTATCTGAGCTTCGATACAAGGTAGCTTACAATCCCAATACCTTTTTCCTGAATTGGAAACAACGTACAGCAAGAAAAGCCGTTGAGGATGCATTGCAATACATCAAAATGTATGTAGCAGGAGTTTGAACCAAAACTGCCAAAGGATATTTTAAAATGTCGAGGAAAAGTCATTCGACGTCATAGCAAGGTTTGGAGCGATTTATAGTGCTTCTAAAACTGAAAAGTACCTTTTAAAGAATAGCACGATAGGCAATCGGCTTTTGATTTCAGAATTAGCAAACATTGAATTTACTTGTCCCGAAAATTCAAACTGGTGTCTCCTTCTTCCTGATAGTAATTTATTTTTGAAATTCCAAAACAATTTCACAGCTGAATTTTGAGCGACTTTTAGTTACGGACTTCTGCTCCAACGATTTTTCTGAAATTCCTCTGGCACATTTATTATATCAATTAAAGCCGATACCAGAAATTTCAGTAAAAAATATCACCAAAATTTTTTACTAGACGCGATTTTCTTTGAACATTAGGGTCCTTTTAAGCGCTAATTTCTCAAGAAATATTTACCATCAATGAAATCGGAATATTTCGTATTATTTCCAAATGATATCTGTTGTTCTTTGCAAAGTTTCGCAGCCATCGCGTTAAAATCGAAAACGTTATGACGGAACATTTGCCACAGCTAAATGCTCTTGTATTAATTACGGAGCCACCTTAAATTCTCACAGATAGCTAGATAGTAATTTACAGAGCTAAATCACCAAGATGTGGATTGGAATGAGGAGATTTACTCATTCTTTTCAGTCGCAATAATTGTTCATTGTCAGTTGGCGTGTTCAGTTCTTCTCTAATTTGCGAAAGCATCGCCGTGCAGTTTCCCGGGGCAATTTCTAACCGTTGTTCCGCACGGAGAGCAAACTGCTCTTGTGGAGAAATATTCTCCTTCCTCGAGGACAACGAAAAGTTCGTTTTTCAGTAGGTCCACCCACATTGGTAACGTTTCCCCTTTTCTGGTAGGCGCAACAAACACATTTTCCCAGCTTATCCATCCATTCGTAAAATTGCCGAACTGTGTTTTGAAACAACAGCCGCACAACAATTTGTCCAAAGCCCTCGGCTCTTTCGGCTTTCTCCCTCTTCGAGGAGCAGGCACAGGCTTTGTTGTCGTACTGCCACTTCCACTCATTTTTGATCCTCCACTATATATACTACATTTCACTATATACACTACATTTCACAGAGAAGCAACGCTAAAAACTGCTTTAGGATTACTGGATTACAGCGTCAAGATTCGAAGCCACACGCGCTATAATAACATGCTAGTCTATCAAATTCACAAAGAGGGCGGAGTTGCGAACAGATTTTTGACAGCTCGACGACATTTTTGAACCCCCTGGTCGGAACGAACTCATTGTATGGAAAACGGACAGTCGGTTTTTTTTCTCTCGCCTCACACGCCCTACGGGCGTGTGAGGCTCGCGCGCTTCGCGCGCGTAAGACTCTTACGCCACGCTTTACCGATTTCTTTACTGATTTTGAGAAAAAAACCGACTGTTTTGCAGTCTAGAGGAGAAGGACGCAAGTAACAGTCACAGCATTAAACGTCTTTCCTTATGGTTTTAAGAAAACTTAAACTGACGGTGAGAACCCTGAGAAAAATTCGTATCTGCAGTCTAGGAAAGAAGCAAAATACCATGACCTACATTTAACACTATTCTGACCGGGCGTTTTTGGGCTTCCTTGGAAATGGAAGGGAAGGGGCCTTCGAAGTCCCCCTTCGGGAACTTTATAACCACTCATGAGACCGCCACTAAGATTACACAAAATAGTGTAATCATCATTCCAACAAGTAGGTGAACGGTTTTAAATTTATTCAACATTAAAGTTTTAGAAGGCCTCAAAGCCACCGGGCTGAATAAGATTTAAAAAACAATAGATAAATAAATGAATAAAAAACGGATAGCTTTCATGTGACATCACAACACACTAGTGAACCCTAAAGTTTCGGCACAGAATGTATTAGGGAATTGACGAGGATAGTTTATATGCGCGACTTCAAGAAAACTTTCTTTCTTTTCAAAAAGCCTGCACATGCGCAGCAGGCGGGATATTTTGTTAAGGCTGAAAAGCCGCTCTATGAAAGAACCCCGCTGCCTGATCAGCGTCCCCTTTTTTTTTTTTTTTTTTTTTTCTTTCCCTTCCAGTCCACCCCTCCACCTTTTTCGTCAGGCTGTCTTTGCAAAGCTAATTCATAGTTTCACGGTTTTAAAACATTTATGGGTTAGGTATTACAATAATTCAGTCCTAATATAATTTTTATGTAATTTATAAGGGGAGGCCAAACTAACCACCAGGTTTTTAATTAGCTTCCATACAATCAGATTTAATTTTATATTTAATTGATAACAAGAAAGGACAAAGAAAAACGTTTTTGTCGAAGACTGGGCTAAATTTTTTAAAACTCACCACTGTAAGTCCGGTATGGATACCGTCGAAACTCATAAACTCTCTCAAGCAAACAACGAAGCCGTCTGCTTTGACCTCTTCGAGCCAGATGTTCATGGAATCAAAAGGACGGTTAGAGTGTTTATGTTGAACGGTTACAAACACTTGAGGTTTTATCTAAAAGAAGAGGCAAAATCACCCCATAAGTAGCTTAAATATGATTATCGACCGTTGCCCCGAAAAGGGCCGGATTAACAGTGACTAACTTTATGACAAGCTCATGGCCATTATAGCTTCGCAACAATTGTTGATTGGGGAATTCGAAATAATCAAGTATCGACTTCATTGCGGCTTTGAAGAGTTACTCGGTTTTGCATGCGGCGATTTGCCAGAATAAGGAGGAGATTCTTGAAAAGCAAACAAAACATAGGAAAAACGGACGATTCATATAGTGCTAAGCCCTTTTCTTGTTAAAGGGGATATGCCACGATGATATTGCTGCTTTAGGCCAATTCTGTGCTGACGTAATCTCTGTGTCCATTTATCTATGCATTAAATGTTCCCGCAGAGCCACGAAGAAGATATCAAACAACTTTCATCAAGGAGCACTATAACCATTACATTTTTTGGTGATTTTTGTAGGCATAGTATTTAAACAATCTACAAAACAAGGCTATTTTTTGGAATTTTACTGATGGGAAGTAGTCACGCGCGTTTTAGTTATCTTTTCCCTTAAGGTTGAAGTTGAGTTATGGGTTTTTCATGAGTAATGACTTTAAAACTAAAATGGAAGACTAAATGAATGAATTGGATAACATCGCGAAGTTACCTGATTCTGAATGCTCAGCGATATCTTCTTGCATTGTGTTCGTGACGTGAATTCATTAAATTCCACGATCCCTGAGTTTATACCTTGATGCGAACCTTGAAATGCAAGCCAGTTTATAACAGACGTCCCACCAGAGCCACTTCCTGCTTCTCGCACGCAGGCTTCAAAACCTGTTGTTGACACCGACTTCACCCAAAGAGACGCTGGGTCGTGGATTTTAACATATCTGTTTCCGTGACTGAGCGTCGCGAACACCTTTACATCTCCCGAACCCTGGAATTGAGTTTCAAAAGAAACGGCTTGGCAGCCATGGTTGTTTTGGACAGTGTCGGTAATATTTACCTTCCCAGCTTGAAAGACCGCCCCTTGAATGTAAAAAATAAAAATAATAATAAAAAAATACCATGATAGTGATATACACGATAACGATAACGATAACGGTAGCGATAACGATAATGACGATGACGATGATGATGATGATGATGATGATGATGATGATGATGATGATGATAGACCTGCCAGATGGTGCGGAAGGGGCTATATGGGGGGCTACATATATCTTGGCAATTAGATTAGATGAAAGGCAAGGTAACAGCGGAATACATCGGAAGAGAAATTAAGATGGTTGCGTAGATCCAAATTGAATGGCGGAAATCTTATTAGTGCATCAATGCCTAGGCTGTAGGTTTAGTAAGCTATAGTGTAGGTATCGTGGATTGCATGAAAAAGAAAAACTAGGACGATATTGGCGGTGAATGGCTGTTTACACAACAAAAGTAATGTTGCCAGATTGTATCTACCGAGAAAAGAAGGGGGAGAGGGTTGATTGGCATTGAGGAGTGTTAGAAGGAGAGAAAATTGTTGCCTGGCTACCAGAGAGATATCACGAATGGATGCTGCATGGCTTTGAAGGAGAAGGTGTTTGTTGAAGAAGAGAATCTTCAAGACTACCAAAAAAGAAGGGAGGAGGAGCAAGTCAGGAAAGGGAAGCTCCACAGGGAGAATTTGCTACGAAAACTTCAGGTGTGGTTGGAGAGGAGTCCTGTGGATGTCTCAGGAAAGGTTTGTTAAAGATGGGAAAAGAAGGCAAAGCAATGCAAAGCAATGCGAAGGCCTGGTATGGAAGATTAAGTTTGCCCGACATTTGACATTTTTTGAAGTACTCAGTTATCAGCCATCAATTCGTACTGCTCACGTTTTGCGGAATGTGGTGTGCCACTAAGCTGTTGGATGCAGCTGAGAAATGAGAAGACCAAGAAAACACCAGGGTGCTGGAGAGAATCGCCCAATAATAATGATAATGATAAAAATAATAATAATAATAATAATAATAATAATAATAATAATGATAACAATAATTATAATAATAATAATAATAACAGCAATAAATTGATAAATGTTAACCGTTAATTATTGGTTAAGTATGCACTTGTTGACCTAACCACCAGTTTCAATAAAACCCTTTACATTTCAGTTACTAACGAAAGTTTAAAACCTTAATAAATAAGAAAAAGAAATCAAATAAATTCTGAATGCAACAATATCTATTTCTGGACAATATATATATATTTTTTTCTGACTGTTTGGTTACCTTTCCCCATTTTGCTATCTTTCTCATATCACCCTAAAATGATGCGATCCTCTTATTTGGAAATTTTTTGCTATATCATGCAGATCAATTTACCATTTTTTCCATCTGGATCAATTACATCCCATAAGTGGTTTACTTCCTTGAAAGCAAAGGGCCTCACGTCTCTTAGAACGTGCTTCAAGTTGATATCGTTGTCGATAAGTTCCTTATTGGGTGGGCCCTGGAGAGTATTTTGTCAGCTTGATATTTTTGCTTATCCAAGACGAGTAATCCTGCATAAGGTTTCTGTTGACGCACGTCTTCAGAGAACCAAAGGAAGCACATTTGGACGCGCAACAGGTCTAACCCATCTGGATCGATTACACCCCATAAGAGGTTTACTTCCTCGAAAGCAAAGGTTGAGCTCGAGCCTCACGTCTCTTAGAACGTGCTTTAAGCCTGAGATCGTCGTCTATAAATTCCTTTTTGGGCGGGCCCCAGAGAGTATTTTGTCAGCTTGATATTTTTGCTTATCCAAGACGAGTAATCCTGCATAAGGTTTTTGTTGACGCACGTCTTCAGAGGCCCAAAGGAAGCACATTTGGACGCGCAACAGGTCTAATCAATCTGGATCGATTACATCCCATAAGAGGTTTACTTCCTTGAAAGCAAAGGTTGAGCTCGAGCCTCACGTCTTCCTAGAGCGTGCTTTAAGCCTGAGATCATCGTCGATAAATTCGTTTTTGGTGGGCCCCGGAGAGTGTTTTGTCCGCTTGAACGTGCTTTAAGCCTGAGATCGTCGTCTACAAATTCCTTTTTGGGTGGGCCCCGGAGAGTATTTTGTCAGCTTGATATTTTTGCTTATCCAATACGAATAATCCTTCATAAGGTTTTCGTTGACGCACGTCTTCAGAGACCCAGAGGAAGGACATTTGCACGCGCAACAGGTAAAATTATTGCCTACAAGGTTTTCAAGAAGTACCGGAGAGAAGCCTCCCACTTCCCAATTTGCTTGAAGAGATTTCACCCATAAATATCCCGCACCACTAGTTGCTGCCCTTGTCCCCCCCCCCCCCCAGGATGCTCATGAAAAATTGTCATCGTAGATAAAGAAATATCATTGGGGTGCTCGAGAAAACCATGAAACGTGCAGTCTGCACCAAATTTGTATTGGTCAGATTGCAGTCAATTTTCAACCCCCTTAACAAAATTTGCCAACAACCATTCTTGTTTGATGAAAATTACCAGAAATTCGTAATTCACCAGTACAATAATCGATGGTCATTTCAATAACTTACCACTGGTAAAATATAGCTGCAAATAAAGCACCTGAGCGGTAAGGAAAGCAAAGAGTGGCTTGCTCATCATTGCCTTAATTCTTCACTATGGTGTATTTGATGTTACCTCTCCTCTGTCGCAAATGCGTATATGAACACTAGGCATCTCTAATTAAACCTTCTCGGTTTTGGAATGAGGAAGACTTGCACCAGTTATTTAGCACCTATCTCTCCAACGGGGTTAAAGGGTCGTCGGACCATGTGAGCGTTTTAGCGTATATTCCGCTAGCGTTGTCGGCATTGTGAAAAATGATTGGCTGGGGTTCGACAACTACTTACTACAATGGTCCTTGGGGATAAACGTCAAGCAACTTTGTTTAACCTTATCCAGTGAGCTTAAACCTTTTATAATCAGTATCCGTTGGCTAAACACTTTGTGGAAATAAACAACTATTCATGCGTCATTGAATTAGGATCGTAAACCGGTACACTAGGTATCGCAGATTGTCTTGCTAAAAATCAGGACATTTTCTGTTCTGAAAATGCAGGTCATGTAATTCGAGGTCTTAGAGCATAGAATATACTAGTAATAATGGCCTCAATCAACACAACGATGCGTGGAAGCTCTGCAGTTGCCAAAATTAAGACACTTAAAAATTATCAGACTTGGAAAAAAAACAGGAAGATATTCGAGTACATGATTCCGCATTCTCCCGCTTAAACGTGATTAAAGGAAAGCTGATGTTTGTTATCTTAAAAATTGACCGACACGTACACCGCTTAATACAAACAGCTATGGACTCTGGCCCCGTTACGACACCGACTATACTGTACATCAGGGGCACCTCTGAAACTATTGCCCGTATATTACAACTTTACAATACGTGTTGCACACAAACCGATAACCACTTTACGGCGACTGCTTACTAATGTTAGGGACAAAGACAAACCGGAGCACAGACGGGGAGCAGTATACAAGATCAAATGTTGCGACTGCCAGGCTTCTTACATTGGTGAAACCGGCAGAAACCTAAGCACGCGACTGACCGAACACAAACGAGCGACGAGGAATGGGGACGTCAACAATCACATTGCTGAGCAACATTTACAGACAAAACATCAAATTGACTGGGACTCTGCGACATGTATAACGTATTCTACAGACTACTATCAACGTCTCACTTTAGAAAGCTCAGTGGTTTACTACCTTAGAACAAACGCCACTGAATCGTAGCCAACAGTTACCAGCGCCGTACAAACGACTTATTGACGAGATCAAGCAAAATTAACTACGAGAGAACGACTGGAGAACTGACAATTTGACTAACAATAGACCACTGTTTAACTGTGACAACAGACGGATCGAAACGCACCAATTACTGATTACGAGTCTTCATAGCCAATAACATTACGGCTTAACTGACAGACGACCGATAACATCGCGACGTAATTGACCAATCAGATCAATAGCCAGAGTATAATACCATCAACTGACGTGATACAACTCACTTTGACTCTGAAGATGACTACCACACAGGTTGTCGAAACGTCAGTCACTGTCCACAACAGTCCTATTCAGGAATACGTTCACCCGGACGATCAAACTCAACCTACAAACAGCTATGCTATTGCTTTCAAGTCAATTTTCCTTAACAAAGTACGCAGGTTGCAATTACGGTTCTAGAAAGGAATTATTTTTCAAGTGAAAGAATAAAAGTCTCACTGCAAACGGAGCTAAGGCCAAACTGATAGGCCTTTAGAATTCAGAGGACTTGATGTCCACCTCCATAATTCTTCATAAGATATTCAGCCTCATTCATTAATTGATAAATAATGTATTCACCTATGTCTTAATGGGTTCTAGTTTCCTTTGCTAATTATTCACTTCCGCTACGGACCAAATACCTTCTCACACTACACCAGAGTGTCGCACAGAACCTATCAGATACGTTACACTCCACTTCCGAGATCGGTGCGGCGCAGTTACGCTCCGTTACAGAAATCGCGCCAAACTCACCGTTCCTATGTGTGAACAGAAGCCCGTTACGGTTTTGGTGCCAGAGCAAAAAATATCCGGTATAGTGTAAACGAAGTGTAAACATGCCTAAATCAGGTGCAATGACCTTTATATTCGGTAAAATGCATTTATTCAACCTAAAAGTCAGTGAAAGGATGCCTCAAGTGCAATACGGGTTCGAATGTCTAAAACAATAGAAAACTGGCTGGGATGAATGGGTAAGACTAATCTACGGAAATGCAGACCACGGAAGCGTGGGACCTAAAGAAATGACTATTTTTATTACTAGAGGTAATCATTGTTTACGGATCCACATTTCGTCATTTACGGAAACGAAATCGAGTCGAAAGGAGTCCAGGCTAGTTTCCCGGCCGTGGTGTCCCTGATAAAATTAATAGGGGCGGCTAATTATGATTTGCGGCGCCACAGTAACACCAGATTAGGATGCATTCTGACGAACGCGACAACTGCCTTTGGTTAACATGATTAAGTAATTAGTTACAATTAATTGCTAACATTTCCAGGCTTAATCGCATACAATGCCACAGTAACACCAGATTAGGATGCATTCTGACGAACGCGACAACTGCCTTTGGTTAACATGATTAGGTAATTAGTTACAATTAATTGTTAACATTTCCAGGCTCAATCACATACAATAACTCGCTTTACCAATGGCTGCAAACATAGCAGCCACTACACTCGTGCGTAGTACCCGGGGGCCGGTTTCTCGAAAGTCCCGGTAATTTTTCGGACCCGCAAAGTTGTTTTATGTTTGCCGTATTTGCATTCAAGATCAAAGCTTCAATAATTTTGAAAATGATTCAATGAAACTACCAGTAAACGAAGCAAAATTGCCCGATTTGTAAGCTAGGAACTTTGTTACTATTCAACAGATGTTGATTTTAAAATTTAACCATTATTTCGCCTAGTTCCAGCTGTTGTTCTTACTCTTGAAACGAGTGAAGTGTCTGCCATTTTAGTTTTTACAACGAAAACAGCTCAATCTCGTCCTCAGGTCTTCTCGGTTAAAACCTGTAGAAGGCTGCATTTTTGACGTCATTTCCTCGTTAAACACAAACTTCTTCCAAATTTGGTCATCAGTAACTGGTTATGGTGAATGATGCGCGTGCTTTTAGCCGATCAGAATTATGGAAAAATTTTGAATGAATAACAAAGAAATTTAATGCCTTTCACCTTAAATGCACCGTTAATTTTTAAATACAATCCTTTTATGGAATAAAAAGCTTTAGTCCATTCACAACAAATGTAGTGGTTTTCTCTAAATTACGAGTTCGCGCCTCTTGCATTAAGTAATTACAGTGTAGACATACGAAGAACAGGATATAGGCGATAACTTAAAATTATTGGAAATGGATTTGAATGATCAAATGACTGCAATAAAACAAGAACAGTTAAGTGCCCAGACACTTGGGCTGTCAGGTTAAAGTGCACATTAAAAACTGTCAATCAAATGACAAAACCGCAGATGCTTCATCTATTAAATTCAGAGTAAGATTCGCTAATCGGAGTTCTTTGTCGACCTTGACAAAGAGTCAAGTTATTAATAACTACATAAACCAGGCAAAAATTAACATATATAAATTTCGAAATTCCACCTAAAGCTAATACTACCTCGCAAAGAAAGTCTTATGTTAAAACGTGTTATGTTATGAACAAGGAAATGAATTTCGTTGTTAACTCTTAAACACGGACAATCTCAGCAATCTCACTGCCTGGGCCATGACCGAAGAAGCAAATCATTACTGTTCGCAGGGGCGGATCCAGGATTTTTTTTAGGAGGGGGTGCACTCGTCTCTTGCTCTACTTCAACACCAATAAACCACATAGCTTTTTTTTTCTTTTTTTGCAGAATACCAGTTGTATTAGAAAACCGCAGGTCATCTCAGGGGTGGGTGCGCACCCCCTGCACCCTCCCCCTAGATCCGCCCCTGGTTCGCCTAATTTAACACACGACTGGGGTGTGATATTTATTTTGCTTAATTCTCTTTTCACTTTGGTTGCCATCGGCGGAAATTCTACAGTTTTGTTGATCATCTACAGAGTACGCGCGCTGAGAAGTTCGTCAAATATCCTCATCGCATCGCTGGCGATTGCAGATCTCGAAGTCGGCCTTGTTATGTATCCTGTCTACATCGCGTTAACTGTCACAAGGAAGTGGTTCAGCGCGCACTTTGTGTACAGACTGGAAAACTTTCTTTGGATTCAATGTTTAGTAACATCAACATTTACCCTCTGCGCAATTAGCATCGACAGGCTTATTGCCGTAACGTTCGCCATTCGGTACAAACAAATAATAACAAAAAAGCGGTGTTACCGAACAATCCTTTCAATTTGGATCACATCGTTGTTGTTCGGATGTTCCAGTTTGTTTTTCGAGGATACTGGCAAGGCATCTATTCTTTGGATTGTAACGCTTGTGCTAACATTCGTCATACCATTTGCAGTAATAATTTACTACTATTTTCAGATATTTAAAGCAGTACATGAGCAAAAAGAAAATTTCTGTCGCCTAAGTCCAATGGAAGCTGCCGACATGCTAAAGAATAGAAAAGCAGCATGGACAGTGGCTATCGTTGTTTCTATATTTTTCATGACATTTTTCCCAAACGTGGTGTTCTCGGCCATAGACGTAAGTACGAGAGATTTCTGCGAGAAGGCGCTAGTTTACCGACATTGGTTATGGGGAATTCTACTTGCTTTTAGCAGCTCGGCTTGGAATCCTTTCGTATATGCTGCCAGAATCAGAGAATTCAGATGCGAACTAAAGCGCTTGTTCAAGCTATCTCAAAATTTTAGGTAACTACTCTGTCAGTTTCTTATCTCGCTCAGCAAACGCCATGAGTACAATCAAGAGCCATAATGGGACTGGTACAATCTCAACGAAAGAATCATGAACAAAACATTAAACAGCATTTTGCAAGTGCGCTCTTCCAAATTATCAGTTTAATTTTGTAAAGCTTTTCTCGCCATTTTTCTCACGAGCCCGGAATTCGAGGCTTTTGAAAATAAAATAACCAGTGATCTAATTTTGGTGTAATAAGACATACTGTTAAACTTTATTTAAGCGATACGTTAATTTGTTTATATTTGAGGACACCAAATCGCATTCTTAAATAAAATATAGAGTTCCCCAGGAAGTCAAAAGTTATTGTTTTTTATGAAAAATGAATAAAGCCACATTATATAGCCTATTAAAAGAGATTTTTTAAGAAATAAAACGGTAAAAACGAGCGATAAAATCCGACGTTTCGGAGTAGTCATGACCCCATTAAAATGTAATGTTTGGCAATGACGGAGGACTGTTGTTTATGTCCTTTTACACGATCGTGTAAATGTCCGCGTGTGTAACGTACATACCCTGCATCACACAGGTCACGTTGGAAGTTATAAAGTACACACTTTAGATATACTCTTTTCTTTATTGGGAAATTTTAAAGCACGTTAAGTCTTTTCTTTGAAATTGGCAGCAGTCTCACATTACTAGTTACTAGTTCCGTTACCTTGACAGGCCCGACTGATTGTTGTTACTGCCGGCTTAAGACATCTGTATGAAGTTGATTTACGTCGCATATATAATGCGAAAATTATACGCTTTTTCTTTGCAACATCAATTACTCTGTCTTGCTATAATTGTCTCCGCCACTCTGACTAGTATCTCGCGCGGATAGGAGGGAGAGTACTTACAGCTGAAATATACAGTCAGTATGCCAGAAAAAATCTCGATTTGCTTGAACAGGGTCCGCGAGGAATGGGTATAGGTAACGATGACGTTCTATTGTTTGCACCCGCAAGTACGAAATGGTTAGATGACGTAAAGACAGAAAATCCCGAAGGGACCGCTTAGGTAGATTTTGTGACAATTATTGTGCGGTGATACTTCGATACTCTTTTCGGTCAAGCGTTTGTGGAGCAGTTTTGTTGAAAGTTATGGACCATAAGACACTCGTTAAGCGCAGATGAAGTTATAAGGTGCGTATAAATGTGTATATATAAACACTTGGAGAGTTTGCCAGACACGAGTTCACAAATCTTTGATTGGAAGCCTTGCCAGACACTCCTTCTCTTGCTAAGAAAATAGGCACATCGTTAAACCAGGATTCAAAAGGGAAAGTAGAGAAAACCTTTCTCTGCGCTTCCTTTTTTGTTTAGGCACATAAATCTCTTTACAAAATCCAGGACAGATTTCGTGAAAAGTTAATGTTTTCTAAAGCGAGGTTAAGGGACAGTCACCTCTTAGACCTCCCATTACAGCTACTGTGCTTAACGCAAATCTTATGAAAACAACAAAAAAAGTCAGTCCCAGTTGAAGTGTCGTTTTGCCAAATGCGCATTCACTATAAATCGATTCTTCATAACAATCTGAATACACCGCCACTTCTTAGTGAAAGTATTCCTCCGCTAACAATTTTTGATTTAGATAACTATACCTGCGGAGGTAACAATACTTCAAATTGTCTTAACATTTGTCTGACGAGCTTCAAGGAACTTAAACTGACGTCATGGCTTGAGTATGGATGTTGTACACGGGACCCGCACATTCAATGTTGAGGGTGTGCAGAGACGAGTGGCACGTTTTGTTACAAATGAATATAGCACCATTCCCGGAACTGTCACGAAAATTCTGAATGATTTGAAATGGCTAACACTCGAGAAAAGAAGGAAAGTGGCACGATTTACAACAATGTTTAAATACGGGTCCTGATACTCGATGTATACGCTGCGTGTCCGGAACCCGATACCTCTCCATACTTCCGGGTTCGTATCGACTAATATCGGGACCACGACACAACTCATTTCACACAGTGACATATGGCGCACTTCAACTGTTTGGGTAAAAGTGAAGAACAGCTCTCCTAATTTTAAGTCTGTCGGCCGACAGTTTTGGGGGGGAACTGTTCTTCACTTTTTCCACTGTTTGTTAAGAAAATAGACACACCGTAACCAGGATTCAAAAGTAAATCAAAACGTGGAAACCTTCTTTGGGTTATCTTTTTGTTTAGGTGCATTAGAACCCCGCTAAATAATCAAGGTCAGATTATGAAAGATAATATTACCTTCTCTTGGTATCTATGCGCTAAAGTGAGTCTAAGGGTCTTTCACCTCTTAAGCTTTCTACGAAAATCTTCCTAAAGAAAATGATCGGTCTCCAGTGTTCTTTTTTTTTCTGTAGTGTTTTGCTGTTTAGGTTTTCGTTTAATTACTATAGAGCACAGCTGAGAAGTAAACGGAAAATAATTACATTGAGATGTTGGCATATTAAACACAGGAGTCAATGGACCCCCTCTCCCTTCCTTCTTGGGACAAAGTAGGAGTTAGTGGGGAAATGAAGTGTGATCATTTGAGAGAGACTGCTAACTCCAGTGGGGTGGATGATTGAGAAGTTTTCAAGTTTTGTTTATCAGTCCTCGGGGTAGGGATTTTGCTTGGGGATTTGTATGTGAGCCGGCTGGTTCCTTAAATTAATCATATTATGGCAACAGACTGAGAGTGAAATACATTCATCTTTGTAGCTGGCCTTCACTTAAACACATGCTATGGCAAAAGACTGAGAGTGAAGTACATTGGTAGTTGGCTTTCACTTAAACACAAAAATAGAATTAGGTAAACCAGACTACATTGTCCTCAAACCAACTTTCAGCTGCAGCCACACAAGAGTAAAGAATGTGACTAAGGTTGTATTCTCTTGCACCTTCAAATTCGATTAAAAAAACTTAAAAGTCATTGTTATTGATAACCTGTTACACAGGAGGTAATGTAAACCCCAACTCCACCAACCCAGGAGAAGGTGGGTATTTCAGGGCTTCTGATATTTCGTGCGGGCGCGGAGCCGCAAAATTCAGGTAAATCCGCGAAATCAGGAAATCTTATCAAATACATGTCTGTACAACATGTTTGAAACTTATTTCAGCTATAGGGGCTATTTGCTTGCCGTAAACTTGCAAATTTATCTTGGAACTTCGTCACTGGAACGTGCAAACAACGTCCCGAAACTACCAGGTGTAGATTATGTTGCGAAAAACTGGGAACTAGCCATGATATTAAAGGCTTTGCCATTGGTTCATTAATGCTGGTCTGATCAGCGCCAAACTGATCGATTTCTAGCGAAATTTGCCATGAAAATAACCACAAAATCGCCCCTTTTTTACCGATTGCTTTTTGGTGAGGTTTGCCCCAAAAACTCCCGCGAAATTCCCGCGAAATCGGCCGATTTTTCCGAGAATTTGTCTCCAAAAATCCCGCGAAATTTGACTTTTTCTTCCGCGACCTATCAGAAGCCCTGGACTATTTGTTAAAAGTTTCACTCCAAATACTGCTGCCACCACTTCCTGAGATTATTTTATGAAACGGCTTTTTTAAAAAAAACAAAAACAAAAACAAAAACAAAATTAGAGGCTTTAGAGGGCTTTTCTGTTACGGACATACAAAAATTTTAGGCCTATAATGCATAAGTGAAAGGACTTATGACAGTTAAAAAATTTAAAAACGTACAATATGTACAAGGATTTGTATGGAAAAACACTCTACTGTGACTGAGGAGCATCAGTTGTCCCCATGTCCCCATACAGGCAAATCCTTCTAACTTTCACTGACTGCCGCAGTCACTACTTTTGAAACACACAGCTGAAGCTTTACAGGGCACCTAATTTTAATATGCTCTTTGAGGTCCTACTAAAATCATTTTTCCAGAAAGAATTGCCTTTGTGTTCAAAGCATGGTTTGTTACATGAAGTCAGCAGTGCATTGTCTTTTCTCTAAGAAAATAAAATCTACTGGCTTTACTCCACTGTCAGAGTCAAACCAAGCAACTGAGGCCATTGTTTCAATATTTCTTAACTACATGTGTACAGTATACATACATTTGATGTGAACACAGAAGTCAGCAAAGGCAAGGTTACCTTAAGCATCTTTGTCCACAATTAGAAAAGTGAATATATCAAGCATAAGATTTTATGAAAATAATAATATCCTTTTTCAGAAATTATCGTCATATCCTAGTGTCTCAACATCCTCACAAAGACATTCATTAATTAACTAAATAAAATTGGAATTGACTGATGCATAAAACAGTTTTCACTGTACACTCCTAGCCCTGTGTAGACTATTGAATTATCAGTGTTAGTGTAGGAAATGGAAGACAGAGGCCTGTTACTACTAGCTAGCCTGAGATCATGCCCTCTCCCTTATTATATCCCTTTATGTCTCTCACGGGAAGAGGGCATGATACATTTCTTTGTCGGATCACATGTAAAAAAGCCAGAATCTGGACTTTTTTCTGATTGGATAGGAAACAATACGGATGATTTGCGCTGTTCCGATTGGCCAAAATGCCACCATCCGTTAGTTGTTGTTGATTTCAGTCAGCAATTTGCTTGCGTAATGAGTTCGTTAGGAAATTTCTGTCGGCTCAGTTTTCTTGAATTTGAAGAATGCATAAATAGAAGTTTCATCCATTGAAATATTTTCCATCTCATCGTATACTAAAACAGTTGCAGTCAAAACTTCACCGATCATTTGAATGCAATTTGATACCGGCTACAAGTTACAGAAGTGACCAAACGGGTTCACTTTTCAAATAATCAATTCATGAATGGAATCTTGACCTGGTTTAACTGTAATTCCTCCCTCAGAATCATGCTGCGAATTATTCTGAGCGATCTTCGCGATCACAACACCTTTCAGTTTGTGAAATATGGTTTCACTGCTTTTGGCACAGAATGAAGTCAACGAGCTTTAACCAGTAAAGATCAGTAAATTCTTTATTATTTGTAGCTGTTAAATAGAGGTTTAGCAGCTTCAGCT